ACGAGTTTCGAGGAAGCTAATGCTTCACATGAAGAAAGGCCTCCTCTTAGGCCTGAAGTAATCACGCAAGATTTAACTATATGGAGGAACGGTTTCAGTATCGCTTATGTACCGTTAATGACGTTCGATAATCAGCAAAACGTAGACTTTATTGAGGTTACTAATTCAATACCATCTTTGCCATTTCCAAGCCTGTGTTATATTGTATCTCTCTACTTGGATTAACATATGTTCCCATGTCTGTATCAGGACCTAGAAAACGCAGAGCACCCGCGTGAATGCAGAGTTCATCATCAGGCGTCAAGACCAAGACTTCCATGTATAAAATATATATGTCTTATTCAAATTGAGAGAGAACCAGTAACGTTTAAGCTCTTATCTTACATCTTATAACCACATGAATCACCAAGACCGTTTACTCCATTCCAAGGCATAGGAAGAGCTCTAGGATCAGCCTCAGAGCCACGTCCATCAGTGAGCCTAGTGGTAGAACCCGCAGCGCCAACTACCACGATCCAGCTAAGATTAGGAGACGGCACAAGCATTGTCTCCCAATTCAACACTCGCCACACGGTTAGAGACATATCATAGACGAGTGAAGACCAGATGGCTCCAGAGACTACCAATTGCTCATCATGGGGGTTCCTCCTCGACCACTCACCGACTTGGACCAGACCATTGAGGATGCTGACATCTCCAACTCTCTCCTCATCCAGAGATACTACTAGCCATTTTTCTCTCAAGTACATAAGATCACTCACTTCTTTAGGTAGATTTGGTAAATAAATACAAACAGAAACTTTTTTTTTGACTTTTCCTCCTCTAAGGCTAGTCTTCCACTTCCAGTGTTTGACCCTCATGTTTGACTCGTATTCTCGGTCAACATTGATTGGATTCATTAGAGAAAGAGTGTGTATAATCAAAAATACTTGTAAAAAAAAGAAAGAATATTATTGGATGATTGATTATACGAAATTGACCAATTATTAGTGATTTTTGACGACCCATATGCGTTTACTTTTTGGGGGTAAGTTTTTGACTCACCTGCCATTCTGTCAAAAACCGTGCGTGTCCATGTTATTGATTTTTCCTTTTTTTTTTTAATATATATAAAAAAAACATTTAAATAGTAAAAAATATCAGGATGTTTCAGGTTGTCATTTTGATTCAGAGAGCGAAGATTAAGTGTGAATGGATTTACTGTAAAAATCCGTG